GCAAAATGAGATTATACGAGAATAGATGAGATTACACAGCACTCTTTGATCACTACTTGCCCACACAGAGGGGTATCATATTAGGCTGAGTGGATAACTATCACATTACTGAATATAAATTTGAATCTGATGATCACTCTTTTGGCCACTTCGTTCATTTTGCACCCTGTGGAACAGCAGAGTAAAGGACAGAAAATGGAAAACAGCAAATATCTCACTTTCATTACAAACTAATTTAAAAGGTGTAAAGAGATATGAAGAAAATCAGGAACCATGAGCATTATTATTAATCCTGGAATAAATGTTGATAATTAGGCAAAAAGGCCTAAGTGGTCAGCCCCAAGACTGATGCATCAGTCATATCTGTTGACAAGATTACTTTACATTATCATTATTCATGACAGTTGGTAATGGACTGTATATTTGATCACAGCATTACTTTGGTCTTTACCAAGAATGTATAACAATGACTATTTAACTGTCAACTTGAATGTGAGGTTGGGCTGAATTTCCTGTGTTTGTGCACTTGCTTATAACCATTCCTTAGCTGAGCTAATAAGGTGTTGCTAAGCCTATGTAAAGAGAATTAAGGTTATTAGCATAAGCAGCCTAAGCAGCCAGACATTCACTTTGTCAGTTAGCAGCCGAACTTTTAATCTGTACCAATATTTTCTTGGTTTTTAATATTTCAGGATATTAAGCAAAACCATAAAGAAAGCAGCCAAACCAAAACATACTTCGTTAAGTGTTGCTGTGTACCAGTATGCAGCCATCAACCATCACAAACACAGCAGCCACTTCTCAAATTAACAACCACATGTTTAGCCTGTACAGTTCTCTGTAGTGAGAGTTAATCTTTAACAGATATTGATCCTGCATCGTTTCTGTGGATGTGCCTCTCTACTCTGTTAGTTCAGCATCTCGATAACCTCTGAAAGTTCATGGAAATGTCTACTTCTGTAATCTACCAGACTACTCACTGACAACCTAGCCCTTCTTATTTCTAGGCATACAACTGTTTGAAGAAAGACAATCTCCGAGACCAGATGCAGCCAAATCTCATCACACTGTCCCTTTCAGCTGACACCTTTCAAAGATGCAATATCCAACATAATTTTGCCAGCCCCTATAAATCCCTGGTCCAAACCAAGCCATGTGTCATTTAGCTGGCAAGCTACAGGAGCTGCTTCATGATAAATATAAACCAGAGTCAAGATGTACAATTCAAACACATATACAAGCACCACAAACACACACCATTTCCAATGTACAGCAATGCATTCAGTCTGTGTGTGTGTTGACAAACACTCCTGCGTCAAGTGGTGAGCAGCTTTTTCCACTGAAATTTCAGGGATGGGAGAGAGAACAGGTGGTGCAAGGATTTCCTTTCATATTCATTACACTGCAAAACGATGCACTGGCTATATTTATGGGCTGATATCAGCTCCTTGAGCTAGATTTTACATGCCGTGAAGAGCAACGGAGTACGATGACCTACTCCCCTGAGAAGACTAAAGAGAGGGTCGTCCTTGGCAGAGCAGGGTTTTATATCATCTTACATTCAAAAGATTGACAGGTGCAGGGGGATGGGGCAGTCTTCACATAAGATAAAGAGCAAAAAACTACACATGGTGTACCAAGGAAAAAATAATAATGTGCACATGCAACATGCAAGATATTTCAAGAATGGTGGTGAGAGGAAGTGTTCAACCTGACTGGTGAAAATACAAAAAGAAAGTAAGATAGTCAGGGAGGGACAGTGAGAAGCTGGAGCGAGTTGATAAGTATTTTTAGGAAGATGTTTATTTGTAGGTCTGAGCAATCAACCTTGGGTGTATATCTACCAACCATGCCATCTCTGATTCAGTTACCATCTGTTGAGGTCTCTCACCTTGTCACAGTGCTTCAGCTCTATATGTCAGGGGACATTTTACATTGGTAGAACATTGCTGCAGGTTCACTGCAAAGTGTCATCTGAAAATGCCTGGTAAAAATGCTGCTGTTGTACTGGTCTATTCTGTAAAGCACCACAAACGGTACAGATTAAGCATTATGGGCTCATGACCACAGCACAAAAACAGAATACAGAAAAAAGTTTTAAAAAAAAAAAGTTATAAATTCATTAAAATATCAGCATACTTTTGGCATGGACCAATATGAACTTTAACAATAATAATATCAGTCTGATTATTTTACTAGTGTCATTAGACCAACTGTGACATAGCCATGAAGGAAGTTATGAAAGATCAGCAAAACAGCATTTAAAATTTTTACTTATCCCAAGACTGTTCAATTGATGTCTGTATCACACAACCAGTTCAAAACATAAAAAATAAAAAATAAAAAAAACACATTCATGCAATGATACAGGTGCACAAAATGGCAAGACATCTTAAAAGCAACAGGTAAATTGTACTAAACAGATTTACATGAAAGAACAGTATTTAGGATAGCATAACCCCAGTTTGTTTGTTTGAGACATGCAAAGCATGTATTTTGCTCAAAATTTAAAATACTTTTGACAACACTGTTTTGAAGATATTACCATATTTCTGAAAAAAAAAAAACTATTTGACCAGAAAAAAATATACCCGTTTCACTATAAAACAAGCTTTTTAACTCTTTGTGAATCTTCAGCCAACCACAGATCCAACCAGAAGCCAATGTCATCTCTTGATATCTTGTTTTATTATCACCTAGGTGCATGTATTATGTGCATTTATGTCTATTAAAGACCTTTTTAAAATTGTTGTATACTTTCATATATAATTCTATTTAATACATATTTTTGATATTTTCATATTTTTAACCAAGCTACTGGTGTCATCTGTGTTTGGTTTTAGGTTAATGTTACCATACAGTCTACCTAACACTTTTTGTACCAACTACATTAAATAAACTAAACGATAAGAGTAAGTATGTTTACGTGATGAGTGCTGCTAAACCCGGTTGGCTTATTGGCCTGTACTAATTGTGGGATTAGAATGTAATGTTATCTGGCTATCTTAAAATAAGTGATTAACGTCACAGCGTGAAAACGTATGCTAGGTTAACTTCTAATCAACGCTGAAAGCATCCCGGAGCTGCAGCATTCTTGCACAATATCTAAGCTTAATACCCTGAAAACTAACCTTAGTATCGGTAAATCTGATTCCAAAACAACTTGTATAACGTATAAAACATGAAAGGTTATCTACCCGACAGTTATTTTAAGATGCTAAGGGGGTGAAGTCACTGCTTTGAAATTGGTCATCCAATATGGCGGTTACGGCGAAGCAACTAGTACAACTATGTTAACGTTAAGCTAGCCAAGTACGATAACTATCTGTGCACCTAACTGAAACACTGGGATAACATGATTAATTTGTGCGTCATGTAAACATTTGATTCAACTAAAATAACCTTTACAGGTGTTGTTTCTATCCCACTTTTACAGCAACAAAATCACTCTCACTTGTGTTAGTTGACGTTCAGCTCCGACAGCTCATTAAACACACCTGTTAGGCTGTTCTCCATTCTAATAGGCCAGCTAGTCACCGCGGCAACGAGCGGTCTTCTTCTTCTTTTTTATTACCGCCACCTTTTAGACTGGAGTGTGGATCACAACGGCAACGATTGGTCCAGCCAATAGCTATCTTAAAATGACTGGAATAACTGGTTTAACATTTTACCAAACAGTTTTGTTGCCATTAATAGGGTGAAAAATGCTTACATCTTTTTGGTGTGTGTATTGTTAATTTAAACTAGACACACAAATGGCCTGATACACCTCCTAGAGGGCAGCGATTTGTTGTTGGGCCCCTACTGACCTCCAGTACAGCCTATAGTTTTATCATTTCTCCAGGCACCCAGAAACCAACCAGCACTCTAGAGCTGAAATGATTAGTTGATTAAATCGTTAGTCAGTTGACAGACAATTAATTGGAAACAATTCTGATAACTAACTTTGTGAAGGTGAATATTTGCTGAAGTCCCAGCAATGAAACTATGATAGTAAACTAAGTATCTTTCGGTTTTTGGCTGTTGCTCAGACAATAAAAGGAATTTAAATATAATAAGTAGTTGTCACACATAGGCTATTGATAATGAAGATATTTTTGGTTGCAGTCTTAAAGTGGCTAATAGGCTACATTTTCCAGGTGTTTTTTTTTATGTGTTGATTACTGACAGAAAAAAATTTAAGCAATTTTATAAAACATTACACAAACACAACATATGAGCTCTAAACAAACTAAAACTATTACTATCTATCTACAAGACTGGAGACCACAAAGTAGTAGAGCTGTTATAATTGATAGTGATGCAAATTTATAACAAATTTGTGATCTATATAATCATAATGAATTAACTGCTATGGAGTGAACCTGGGGCTCTGGGGGCCCTTTGGGAGTCTGGGGCCCCTGGAGAGTTGCCTGCTTCACCCGGAATATAATCTAGCCTTGCTGTGAACTGTTATAAGACACTTAGAGCTATAGTTAAATGACTTAAATCAAAATGACTCTGGGTAGGTTTCTCTGTCTCTTCACTTCAAACTCTGCATTAATGTGCTTTTTAAACCTACTCTAGGTTGGATTAATGTTACTAAAACCGTATAAACGTACAGTATGTGTATTAGGTTTTGGTTCAAATGTAGAATGAAGACTAGGGAGGGTGGTATTATATTTAGACGGTCTTCACAAGGCAAGTAGGGGTAACTGAAAGGCAACACTGAGAAAGATCCACAGCTTAAAATATCTGCCCACACAGCTTCCAGGAGGACTTTAGTGCCAGGTGCGAGGATAGCAATGGTGCAGATGTCCAGTTTCATGTTGGGCGGTTTTAGGCTTTGCATAATTAGGATGAGGCCACCGACTCTAAAAACAATCGTATCTGTCATGTTAACATGTTCAAATGCATAAAAAGCCGGCGCTAACAATGTGAGGGCACTGGTAAATATGCGCGTAATTACGCATGGCGGCACAAGGGTATCCTCGTGCTCCAAGTCTCCAGATTAAACCTACCTTCCTCTGTTGCTTCTCCCAGGCTGGGTCTAGCAGCAGGTCCCTGTCCCATTCATCTTCTTGAGTCATGTACGTGACTTCATGGTGGGTCGTGTAGGAGTTGCTGTATGTAATTTGGGTTTCGACAGCTGTCATCGTGCCGCCTTTGTCAGGACTTCTCACGCCCCCGTCAGCTTACAGTAAGAAAAAGTTAGTCAGCAGTAGGAACTACGACGATGCCGTGAAGTCAAGAATCTCCTTGAGACGACGGCTGCAGACCAGACTCCAGTGGTGCCTGTGCGGAGGTGGTGCTCCCACTACCAGAAGACCCTGCTGACCGATGCTCCTTTCCTGGTCAAAGTGGCACACGTGACCGCACCCCAATAAATATGGGAAGTGACAGCTTGAGTATCAGGTTCTGACCCCCAAAAGGTGTAAAAGGCGGGGCAGCGTCCCGCAGGCGGGTTTAACAGGCTTGTGAGTGGTGTGGAGGAATGTCAATTACTTTCCCTCGACCCAGAGAGGTTTTTATGGCCTGTGCAATGCACCTGTTGCTGTAGTTTCAGCCTACCTCTCCCAAAAAAGGGTTCAAAGAACTGAATCCCAAATTCTCCAAACCACTGAGTCTAAAGAACAGTTCTGGAAGACTTATTCCACACTGCTGAAGGCTGCAACTACTATAGTTTGTTTCTACAATCTATGAAAATATTCATTGCATTCTATGTACATTGATTGTTCAATTATAATTAAAGAGATCCAGCCGCTTATATGAGAAAAATGAATTTATTCATGATTTGCATGCAGATTGAAAACTGCCTCAACATTTTAAGAAATACATGTTAAAAGGCATATATATGCATACACAACCATATAATATAATTTGTCATTCACAGTAAACATGTTGATGCAAACATTTCATCTAACATTCATCAACTAAAATCCCACCCCATTCAACCTTGTGCTGGAAAAAAATTCCTTGAAATGAGCAGATTGCTATTCTCTTGATTTGGCACACTATTCAGTCACCCTTGATTTGTCTTTGGACACTAGAATAATGTATATTATAATTAATCTGGCTTTTAAATGTAACTACACTGGCTTGGTCCATTAACCTACATGAGGACGCTTAGCTACTGCCTGAATATTTGTGGTTACCACAGGGTACATGTGCTACTACTGAATCAAGAGGATTTAACATGACTGTAAACAGAATGCAGCTATTTGAGTTTTGATAATTAAATGGACCATGGCAAAAGACAGGCTTGGCCACTGGTGTCTATCAAACATATACAGCCAGAAGGGTGGACAAAATAACAGTAACACCTCAGAATATAATGCAATACACCATCACTGCACCCTGTATCATCAAGAACTACCTCCTTTACCAACTCTCAACAGCCCTCAAACATAATTAACTTTTTAATTAATGTAGGGATATAAAATGTAATTGTATTGCATTCTGTAAGTGTTCATGTATCCATTCCCTGTAGCTGAGTTATGACTCTGCCGCTACTATCTTTATCTGAAGAAGAAAGATGAGCAGCAGTAGAATCCATGATCTGTAATTCTCATCTGCATAAGAGCTAGTCATGATCATATTACTGAATCGCAACTTGCAAACTCACAAAGCAATGTGGTCTTTATGGGCTGTGCTCAAATCTAAGTGGAGTGGGTTTTGTTGCAGATGCACATACTTGCATATCTCAGCTGATACCTGCTGTGGGAGAACAGATGTAACCTGTGGGATCCCGTCAAAAACAACTTAATACAGAGACGTGTGCTGAAGGAGCATCTGGATTACAGTTCAGCTGTCCAAAACCACAGGAGGCGGGGGAGGGTGTGGGGGAGGAAGTGGAGAGGAGGCTGCAGTGAGCTTTGGCTGTCAGTACAATGTGGCTGTGAATTCAGAGGGAGGGTGGGGTTAGAAATGTGTGGCTGCATTCATCCAAGCATGGGAAGCCCAAGACTCGCATGTACCTGAAGAAGCCTTAGTGAGGAAGTTGGGAGAGTGAGGATGATGAGGTGGCTGGGGGAAAAGAAACTGGAGCACCACATGCCCTGATCATGGAGGCTGAGATGGAAGTCAGTGCTTTATCTACTCATTCTGCAGCTGCACTATTTAAAGAAGGCTTCTTTCCTGACCTTCAAAGTAGTTTGAGGTGGTGAAGCTTACATTGCCTTTATTTTGGGAGCATACAATATCTATGAAAACAAGATCAGTTTTGATGGTAGATGTACCAGGGCCTTTATAGAGTAAGATTCTGATCAGTATATCTATCATGGCAATGAACAGCATGGTCCTCCAAGATCAGGAAGGTGAGGTTAGGGAGCTGCTTCCACTACCAACTCACCTTATAATCAACTCATCTATTCATTTCCCTCTTTCTTCTTTCCCTGGGTTTGCTTGTTAGGCAGACAGAAAGCATCGGCCTCTGTCTCGCTGTCATTTTGCAGCTGTCAGGGCAAATACTGATAAATTCATTTGACATACTAGGTGACCGTGGGATCCTGGGTGAGGGTTAAGCTCTGTATCTCTGCACATGGACAATCTTAACAGTTAAAAACACATACACGGCACTCAGAGCACATCTCCAGCCAGTCTAGCTGATCCCAGGATTAGAGAAATAGAGCTGCCATACCAGAAAAGTCCTATAGGAACCCTGAGATTGGTGAGAATCTACAGGTCAGACTGGCCTCAATCCTAGGCCTATCTTATAGGATGTTTCTGATTGGCATAAAGGCTGTGAGGGACCCAAAGGTAAGACAATTGTTAACCCCTACAGTAGGAGGTTGGCTTATCATTTTTTTTGATGTATTCAAACTAAGTTCTTTTGGAAAACAGGTGTTAAGATCCCTTCCACAGCCATGAGGAACAAACCCAGCATTCAGCAGTTTTAGCAAAGCGATTTGTCCGACATTGAAGTCTCTCTGTGTCATGTTACTGAGTCTGGTGGCGGGGCACCAAGCATACACTGTCCATTGCCTAGTAGCCCAGGCCTCTATGGCAACAAATGAGGGTGGGGAGGTTGGGTCAGGTGGGTGGTTCTGAGAAGTTGAGTCCGAGCCAGAGCCACGAACCCAGATCCAAGGTGGCAACGGCGGTGGCGGCGGATAAAGCGCTTGTGTACGTGTGTGAACGGCGGAGAGGAGAGGCGCATAGGGACAGTGGGGAGGGGAGGTTAAGGTGAGGAAGAGGAGTGAAAAGGCAGGGGGTAGGGGTGAGGGCGGCGAATACGGCGGTGGAGAGGAGTTCTCTAGTGGGCAGGCGAAAGGTGGGGGTGTGTCCACATATGCCAAGCTTCACTAATCAAAGAAACACCAACCAAAAAGTTCTTCAGACATCCATGATCTCTCCCCGTTTCACCCACACACATACACACTTCCCTTTATTCACTAGCTCACACACCAACAGGACATAGTCAGTCACCTTGTATGAGACAGTGCTCAGTCTTGTAGAGGGGGGGTCTTAGCCCCAAGCCACCCCGCCTGCCACAGCCACTGAGGAGAAGCCCAAGGCTGTAGGTGTGGCACTGCCATCGTAGCAGAGGAGTTACTGAGCAGGGAAAGGGGGAGGTGGTGATGACAGAGGAGAGGAGGGGGAGGAGTGTTTGGTCAAGGTACAGTCAAAACAGGGGCGGCAGGTGGGGAGAGGGGAGGTCAGTGCTTTTGTTTTTGTTTTGTTTGGTTCATTTACCTTGGTGGTGAAGAAAGAGAGAACAAGTTCCCACTGCGCTGGCGTTGCATTAAAAGTCGTCCCCATGGTTCACGCCACCACACTCACGCACACTGGCCGTTCCAGGTGGCCTGGTGACCTAATTCAGTTGAGATAGTTAGTTCAGAGCTGGACTTTCGCGGGGTTTGTTTATTTTTTTGCGGCAGAGGTACAGGGATCACACATGCAGGTCTGAGAGTGGAGTGGACACAAAGACACACGGAAGGGGAAACTTTGGTGCAGCAGGGAGACCAGACCAGACCAGACACACACCCATCAACCCCAGGAACAGGACAGCTCCACAGATCAAAATGCACCCAGGCCATTCTATCTGTGTGCCTCTCCCCAGCCCTCAGCATGATGCCACAGTCTGTGCATTGTCCTTTCTGCATTAAAATCAATTTAAGAACCAAGCCTTTCTTGCCAATACTGAATACTGAAACACCTTTGCTCAAGTGCAACTGTGGTTTATGCACAGTTGGAGAGGCTGGAGAGAGAAAGGAGCACCAACCTGCACTTACCCTGACCACAGAGAGCAAAGCTGGGCCAGCATCTACACCTGTCTCCCCCTGGGTCCCCAGTCAAATGGGTCTGGCGGTCATTTTACACAAGAGAAACAGATAGTGGAGAAGAACAACGTAAACAAGAAGAAGGGGAAATGTCCAAACCCTTTGCTTTCTTTACCACAGTAGTCAGCCACATTCTTTATTATAAGGTTTATAGTATACACATTCTCAATAAAAAGCATGCTGGGTTTTTTTTTTCAAACTGTACTTTTGTTTTTTTCCTATAAAAGGCAGAATTAAAATACTTCTCTAAAAAATTCGATCTCAAACATGGCAAACAAGACATTTTGCAAACCACATAATTCTACAAAGGATGCAACTGGTATGGGTTTGTATATACGACACAGCTAGATTACACTGCGAGATGCAAAAGTCTCTTAATCACTAAAAACCACAGGGAGAGAGGGGAGGGGAGGGGTGGGGGCAAAGAGCGAGGCAGTGAGGTGATTCAGAGGGTACGTCTGTGTGTGCATCAGACCACTGTCAAATTGTCCTTGCAAAAAACACTGAATGTAAGAGACTGTAGAACCTGATGGTTGGAATTTGCCAATGCAAAAGGTTTTGGGAAGTCTTTTGTTTTATTAATGTTAGGTGGATGTAGCAAACCCCACCTATAAGATGTAACAACTGGATTAAAACAAGCTTTTTTTGCAATTAAAATCTGAAGCAGGTCTGGTATTTGGGGCAACTGGAAGACATTCACAGTTACACCCCAGTTTGACTTGTATTACATGTAAACTACACTAAAACAAAACACATATTTATTTTTAAAAAAGGCCTCTGAACATAAAGAACTATGTACAAAAATATCACCAAAATCCTCCCTAAACCTCCAACCTTACCTTTACGAGGAGCCGCAAATGAACTGCTAACTGGGT